AAAAATTAATATGCTTTTTGGGGGTAAGAATATGTAAGATATATATATGAATATAACAATTAAGAATATATTATTAGAAAATAAAATAGTTCATACTTTGGCCTCTTCGGTACGACTTTGCTCAAAATTACAAAAAAAAAAAAAAAAAAGTCACAATAGCAGCCACATGTCCAAAGAAAGGCTAAACTGATCCCTAGTCCTTGGACCATGTTATCCCCAGCTATTGATCCTAATAATTAGCCTTAGCCCCAGCTATTCATTGATCCTAGGCGTCTAGAGTCTTAGTTTTTATGTTCATCAGAAATATGATGAACAAGTATCCAGGAAAAAGATGCGACCAAGATAGAAGAGTTTCCCTTGAGAAAATCGCATAAAGAAGAAAAAGAAGACACTAGAATAGAATAGAGTTGGGGACCAAACTAAAAAGGTAGTGTGGTAATAAACATAGACTTTACATCTATCTGAGTCTGTAATACAGAAGAGACACCCCTGTATTCAGATTTCAGACCATCAACAACAAGAAGGGTCATCACTCATCTTTCATGCGTTTGTATGGAATGGATTGACTTGACCATGCATGTTATATAAAGATTACAGCATCCACGTGTTGAATATGCAACTCGACTAGTGTGGTTTCATGGTTTGGTTAATCTTACACCACCAAATTAAGCCTACTGCAGCTCTGAATCACCCTTTAAGGTCTTTTCCTACTACAATATATTGACCAAAATACCCATTATTGGTGTCTTCTTGGTGGGTACTTAATTGGCATATGGCACTTGCCAGTTACCATGCACCTCGATCGGTTCCAGACTCAATATAATAGAGAAGTACGTTAAATTATATTAATTTATACTCATACTATATATATATATATAGATGAGTCTGTCTAAAGGTTTGTTGACGTCTTGCATCAAGAGACCGGATTATAGACTTGTATGGTGGTATATTGGATAAACAAGAGTGCTGTATGGTCCTTCCCATCTTGCTTTGTTAATTAATTTCTTATTTAGTGGACACAGTACAATCAGTAAACCAGCCATTTGCTTTTCCTCCCATTGATGTCAGCACTGATGCGATACCTTTCTTTAATACAAAGTTACAAACTCTTAATTTCCTTCTTCTTTTTCCTGAACTAGGGCTCTTTTTCTTGGTTGTGTTATTGTGTACAGAGACGTAAGGGTTAGTTTCTTTGAGTTTTGCTTTCTTTGGTTCCGAGGTAGGATTCTTAAAGAACCCGTGTTAGTTTTCTCTCTCTCTCTCACTAAATTCTATACACACTGACGCCTCTGATCAGAGAAAGCTAGAGAGTAAAGTATATAGTCTTTTTCCTTAAAAGAATAAGACCTTCATGGCTAGCTCCAAGATGACATGCATTTGGTCTTGGATTTGATCGAGGAATTAGAAATTACAGCCAATGATCGCCTACTTACATGTTATTAACTATTATTTAAACCACTCGAAATATCAAATAATCTTTCCACTCATGGAGATAGTATTCATACATAAGAATATAGGACCCACACAATGTCAAACTGAGGATCAGTGGTCCTTGTATTATTAAATTAAGGCAATACCTTAATACTCCCATATTGATAGATTGTTTTTTGCTCTTGATTATTGCTTGCCGAAATCAACTACTACTTCCAGATCATGTCATGCAGCTAATTAAGTTGTAACTTTTCATAATATTTGCCTACCAAACAAACTTTAGAAGTAAAAAAAGTCAGCACCAGAATAATTCTTTGATTTCAAAGTATAGTATGATAACTGGATGTGAAATCACATCACTAATCTACTTTTCTAATTATTAATCTAAAGGTTCATGGAGTCAATTCAGTTGTGAACACATCAATAAAGGGACCATATAATAAAGCCTTTAAAAGAAGCTACGCATGCAATTTGAGGGGTATTGTATTTGGTTTCAGAAGAAGCAGCTGTTTCAATAATGTACAACGAATTGGGACCATTAAAATATTTAAGCTCCATCATTCTTTCTCCTTCACATTCTCTCTATTATGAGGCCAAAAATGGTCTACATGAAGATCAAGTTATACAGATGTAATGAATATTTCATCCTAATCACAAGCAAGAAGAAGCAGTAAATTGGTAGGTAGCTAGTCTCAAATGTTATTTCAATCAAAACATATATAGATTATAATAACAAAAGCATCATTTATTGCAAGTACCATATTACTGTGTCTATAGTAATGTATCATATTCTAATGCATTAATCCCAAAACCCTACTATTTGAAGGGTGACAATATATAAATAAATAACAGAAGTCCATAGCTATGTTCTTACCAGATTGGAGAATTCAATATGGCATTGGAACCTTAGTTAATTAATGCATAAGAGGGTTTTAGTATATTACATTACCATATACTCTATCAGATATATATATATACATCTAATCAGATGCTAGGGTTTCAAGTCAATAATTACCATCATGTTAGGTACCAGTCACCATCAGACACTTTAATGGAATTCACATTTGTAACCATTAAACAGTAAACAACCCTATCCAATGAAGAAAAATATCACAACTGTAAGTGGTAAAACATACCTGTGCTTGAAGGAATAGGAGAGAGAGAGAGAGAGGGGGGGGGGNGGGGGGGTATTGAGGACTCAAAGTATAAAAGACTTGGTCGACTTTTTAGCTTGGTTGCTAGCTCCTCTTTCTCACCTTTGGACGATAAATTTATTATATGTACTTACATATTTAGAAACTATACACTAGGTTTGAAGAAAAAACAAGGAGAGTATCAACTAAGGTTCTTATTAGAAGAAAAAAAATTACAGTATAATATATTTATAGTTCTAACTTGCTGGGTTTGAAGATTTTTCCTGATCGATAATCACTTTCTTTGCTTGTTTTGTTGCTTCCATCTTTTAGAATGTCTTAACTAGTATTTATTTATAAAACGATGCAATCTTTTGGGCACATAAATCAAGAACCTAAGATTCAAGATGATAAATAAACAAAAATATTTGGCATTCACACCCTCCAAATAACTATTTAAAGTTTGTATATACGGTATACATTAATGAAAGATCTTCTTAAGCATGTAACCATCTTTACTGAGTTGGAAGCAATCATGAATTTAACTTACTGAGTTGGAGAGTTGAAATAGAAAATGTCAACAGTTTCGGCCTAATTTTTGATGAACTAGATTCCAAGGAGTCATTGTTTAATTATCTATATATCTATTTCATCTCTTAATTTCTTTGCAAGCGAAGCAAGTTAGGTTGGTAGTTAGAGGTTTGGCAGGTGAAGATGTTAAGACCAGGGTCTTTGATTTCAATATAATAACCAAGTTACAGGCAAGCTCAGTACTCATGAAATATGAACAAACTAACTGAGAAATATCCCATGTTACTGTATTGGAAAACAAGGATTTTTATACTTATGATATAATGTCTGGAAGATTGGGTTTTCATTTACCATTGCAACAAAAGTGAACCTTGAATTAATGTCTTTTCAGGGGGATAACTACATATCCTTAGAAAATTTCGAATCCTCACTTTTCTAAGTTCAAGAAATATATTAAGCATTAAACAAAATTACAACCTTCGGTCCTTCAGAATCTTCAACTATTTGAAGGATCGATATAATTAGGGCATATAAGATCATATGTTCTTCAATAGGATGGAAGTTGAATTAGACTGCATTTTCTAAAAAAACTAACAAAGAAGATATATAGAAAACAAAGGTGAGATTAATTATCACATATTCCCTGGTAATGCAACTACTGATACAATAACTGTTTTCATCTCTTCTGTATAACCTTAATCCATGGGGCAAAAGGTCAGATTTTCCTATGTTTCCTTTTGAATTCTTGCAAAGAATGCCAGAAACCTATTGAAAAATAATTTCGATACGGCTATGCCAAGAAATTTGATTTCACAGGACACTGGTTCCGCTTGACATTTCTCAAGAGAATCAAATACTGGGATGATTCAAATGATCTAATATCGAAGTATATAGATTATCATAGAGAACGCATGCATGATATTTGATACTGGAAAAGTTTTATAGTCTCTCTTCAGATTTGCTTAGATCGACTCTGAATAATATCCACGATAAACACCAAGAAAGCAAACAAAGTTACCTGATGATGATTGAAATTCGGGTCTCAATATACTGTCTCCACTACTCCAAATGAACAACATTAAAAATATTACGCACTAATGCGATAATGGTTAAATGAAAACGTTTAAGGAGAAGGACCAGGGCAATAAGAAAGAATCCAAAGCAAGAAGAGTACTGTAAAAGTATACAAGAACGTGAAAATCCTTTGAAAAATCAAATGGGATGAGAGGTAATGCATGTGGATATATAGTAGTTGATTTATAATATCATAAAAATGTAGTTTAGTCTATTGTTCTAAGTTTGGTTTAGATGAGACTGAGGACTTGTATTTTCATCAGCAACATTCTCATCAAGCGATTAATACTTATTCCTAGAATGTAATGCAGCAAATGGTTTTCGCTCCATATTGTCAAGTTTTTACTCTTCTAATTGGAGCTATATGAGATGGGACTGATGAGATGTACATTCAGAGCTCCTATTACTGTTGCAGACATGGGAATAACAATAAGGGAATGCAGCCACGCATTGGATACCCTTCTAGCTAGAGCCGAGCAAGTTGTAGCCAAAATGTCAAAGCAACTTTTCTACTTTAGTGCCTTTTCATGGGGGTTCCGAAGAACTCAGTGACAGATATGTTTCGACCCATGTGTTAAAGAAACCACGTACCTTTTATGTGGAACTGAGAAACAGTAAAAAGTTGTTCTTCAAAGATAACCCATCTCCACCAGACAACTCTAGCTAGTAGAGCAACACCCATATACACAGGACGGACCTCACTCAAAGTGCCGGAAAATTATGACTAATTAGTTGCAGTCAAACACTGCCAGATTTTTTAGGCTTTCAATGCAAGTTCCTAAGCTTTCCCTATTCGATCGACATCAAATACAAGAAACTTAGTCCAACAAATTACTGCAACTGAAAACCCAGAAAGAAATAAAGCAGTAAACAGATTCACAAATAGCTGTTCATAAATAAGAAAAGCAGTATGGGAAATTGTAGTGAGGAGAATGAAAATAGAAGCATAAAACAAACGAATCTCTGGGTGAGTTTATGAGGGTTCTCTGATAGGATGATATAAACTCCACCTTCCCTACTGGTACAAATTTACACAGTTCACATGTACAGTGCAGTTACTGCGGCACCATGTACCTTGACTCCTCGAAAGGACATTCTTGTAGCATCGCTGGGTCCCTACCTTCACAGTTGGCGACAAGAGGAGGATATACCAAAGAGCTTATATCACACCAGCTGGAGCTTTCTGCAGAACTTGTGCCGGTGCTGTCATTGACCATGCCTCCTCCATAAAGAAACTCTAATCCCTCTAATCTTTGAGGGAAGTTGTTGTTGTAGATCGTTTCGTTGAGTTCGACTGGGAAACTGTTAAGTCCTCCTTGCAACAAGTGCATGTTGGCTACGTCCATGTCATACTGCGCCTCCGTCAATTGACAAGTGTTACTTGTTATTACGGAATTCATGGGGCATGGAGAAGGTAGCAAATCGATAGAATTCTCATAGAGCTGTTGTTGGGTGGAGGAGGTATCAAGTGGGCATTGAAGATTCATGCCCTCGTCGTCGTTTATGGGTTGTTGATGACCATCGGAAAATCTTCCTCCAGCTCCTAGTTTGATCAGCAATTTCCTGATGGATGCATGATCGCTGAGATGGGGGTCTTGGTTGCTAGGATAAGGCATGGGAACAGCAGGCATAGGCATCTCGGACCAACATGGGTTCTGGTTGCTGCTTCTGCTTTCAGATACCATGAAATTCCCACTACCTTTCTTCATCTCTTGCTTTAGGCCATGTAACCTACGAGCATTGAGTTCCTTGCGCTGCTTGCCCAGAAGCTTCTTCTTCAGCCTTGTGTTCCAATAGTTTTTTATATCATTATCGGTTCGTCCTGGTAGTTGTGCAGCAATGATAGACCACCTGCTCATGCAAACGAAAATTTTAACCTTAGAATCAATTAATGAAGATTAATCAAATAACTCGATCGAAGGGATTGAGAGAAGAAAAAAAATCGGCCCAACTAATTAATAATTTTCACGAAAACACTTGCCTGCTTCCAATACTTATATAGAGACTGCAGATTATGTTATCTTCTTCCTCGGAGAATCCTCCATGCTTGATATTTGGACGGAGATAGTTCAACCATCTCAGCCGGCAGCTCTTCCCACATCGTTTAAGGCCTACGCTCACAAAACCCACATGGAGAGTGAGATAAGCAACCCTCCCTAGTTCAGTTTGGTTGGACTACGAAGCTAGCGCAAAAGAGAAAATAAAGTAATACAAGAGAAGGCTATAAAATCTTTTAATTTGCAGTACCGATCTTCTGTGGCAAGGCGATCCAGTTGCCACCGGTGCCGTGCTCTTCGATGTAAGCCTTGAGCTTGGCATCTTCTTCAGGTGACCATGGCCCTTTCTTAACGTTGGCTTTGTCACAGCAAGGAGCTCTCCCCATTGTTTCTATGTGTCTTTTGAAATCCAAGTTGGGTTGTCTTCCTCTTTTATTGATGCCGGCAGTATATGAGGGAGAGATAAAGAAAGAAAGAAAGAGAGAGAGTCTATGATAACTGAAAAAGGAGACGCATGGTTCCTGGAACAGTCATGACTTTAAAAGGGTTGTGGTTTAAAAGATAGCCTCTTGTATAGATAAATGGAGGAATTAAAAAATTAATGCCAGAATAGAAGACCAGTCTTTTCTCCTTGTCTTTCTTATTCCAGAATAAATATAATGCAAGCGTCAGCTTCCTGGACTCCCTCTTCCCTCTAAAACATCACATACTTTCTAACATTATTTGCATACTAATGTTATAAATACTACTGTATTTGGTTAACTATTGTATCAACAATGTGTGTGCCCTCTACCATACAAAACACCAATATATGACCCTGACCATTTATCCGTTGTGCTCTCTCTTTGTCTTTGTAGAGCCCAATATATATATATATATATATATATTGTATTGATCGAACGGTTATCATCCAATCACACTGTGCGTAGGTCAAATAGACAAATACAATGGTAAGTCCAATGCCTTAATGGTAACTGGTGTAAGTCCTTAACATGAGACCCACTTGTCATATTGCGCAGATCGATGAAAATGTGCACAGCTGGTACTATGGGTTCTCCACCATATTATAAATGTAAATATGTAATAGTACCGCACCCATCCCAACCCCAAAATTACTAGGTTTATTAATATTGCGTTGATCAATCTCCCAACTGATAGAGGCGAAATTGATATCACGCTATAAGATGATGTTTTGTGTTTGGACGGTGTTTAGGGAATTGGGACCCATTAGCCCTAGTAAGTCCTACGTAAGAGATTAATGCTCAGAAGATGAGAAATCAGAAAAGCATTTGGTGTGGGAGTAAAATTCAAAGAGCTATATTAAAAAATAGCTCTAAATTTATCTGGACCCTATTTAGAGAATAAGAATTTAAGATCATGTAGAAAAAAGGACCGCATTCTCCCTTTTGTTTTTGTTAGGTGACCAAATGGGGTGAATGCTTAGTGGCAAGGTTTGAATTAGCCAAGAATTTTGAAAATGAGAAAAAGAAGCAATTGCTGTCTAACAAATTAATTAAATGCAGGTAGACATGATTTCAAATTTTATTAGCAGCTCAACATCCTTTGGATATACATACATGTAGATTCCAGACCACAGAAAATACACAGCACCACCGGATTTAAGTTTCATCATCATTGTTAAAATCATTTCTTATTGCTTCTACTCATATCCTTTTTAATCTACCCTTAGTTCTTCTAACCCTTTTCACTTGTAACAAATCTCTTCTTCAAATGATGTTGCCATTGGCTTGTTATACATATGACTAAACCATCTTTGTCTATTCTCTCTCATTTTATCACTAAATGTAGGTTTTTAAGGGTGACTTCTTTCTTGATCATATCCTTTCTAGTTTTTTTCCACTCGTACATCTTAACATTCACATCTATGCCACATTCATTTTTTAAACATATTGTTTCTTGCTTGTAACACTTTGCTCCACACAATATAATTGGACTTATAGTTATTTTATGAAATTTTCCTTTTTAATCTAAGTGGCATTCTCCTATTACAAAAAAAAGTCTAGATGCACCCCTCCATTTTGCCCAACTTGCTCCAATTCTTTGTGTGACATTATTTTCAATCTCTCCCCTGTTATAAATTATATTGAACCAAGGTACTAAAAATAATCATATTGAGTTATCTCTTAGCCTCCAATCTTAAGCGTATCTTGAATTATATATACTTATATTATTACTAAATTTACATGTCATATACTTTATTTTAGTCTTACTCTAAAATCTCTTGTTTCTAGAGCATTTGGTCTATAAGCTTAACTTTGTATTTAATTTTTCATTAGTTCCATTAATTAAAACAATATTGTGCACAAACAACATGAGTCATCGAACTTCTTCCTAAATATATTTAGTCAATTCATCTATAATCAATGTAAATATATAAGGGCTAAGTGTTGAATCTTGGTGAAGACCCATTGTAATTGTAAAATCTAATGGTCCTCTCACTCGTGTTTTAACATTAGTTGTTGCCCCCTCATACATATCTTTAGTTAAGCCTATATACCTATTTTGAACCCCTTTTTTTATATGACCCACTATATCATCTTTCTAGAAATTCTATAATAAGCCTTTTTTTTTAGAACAATGAATACTATATGAAGGTTTTTTCCTGTTCTCTAAACAATTTTTATCAATCATCTCAAAAAAAAAATATATAACTTGCATGGTTGATCTTTTTGGCATAAAACCAAATTGTTTCTCTAATACACTTGTTTCAAGTTATAATCTTTGTTCAATTATTTTCTCCCAAAGTTTCATAGTGTGACTCATGAATTTAATCATTTGATAGTTATTACAATTTTGTATATCACCTTTCTTCTTAAATATAGACATCGTATTCCTATTTCTCCAATCACATCCGCTTTTGTTTTACTATCTTATAATATAGCTTAGTTAGCTATAACACACCTGTCTCTTCCATACCTTTACACACTTCTATTAAAATCCCATCAATTCCAAACATGTTTCCCTTTTTTCATCTTATTAATTTAGTACTTCTTTTACTTTAATAGATCTAATTCTACAAAGGTATATATTATTTTTAACACTAATAATATTGTTATYTTTTCTCCCATTATCACCCTCTCTCACTTAATTTTCATGAATCTTTTTAAAATTTCTATATTTATGTTGAAATTAAAATTTGAATAGATTATCTAGACACCATGTCAAAATGAAACCATTTCGATAATTTACTTATTCAGAGTATTTGGACAAACAAGTTCGTGGAGTCACCATCCATTGATCCAGCCATCCCCGCGAAAGGAAAGACGGCGAATTGGAAATGTAAATTTAGAAGAAAAAGCGGTTTCGTTTTCAATTGTCGAAAAGCCTAAAATTAATTTTAACCAAATGTTTTTTGTGGTACATACTTTTGAGCTAGTCTTTATCCATTGTATGTAGAATCCCATTCTCATCAACCAGCCTGATTTCTGACGAAAAACCCATTTAGCCATTCTACTCGGGAAAAATGAATGGAATCCCTTAATCGATACATGCATCTTTTTCCTATTACACCCTACCTATAGCTAGCTAGATTAAATAGACAATACAAGTTAATTTTCTTGGGGATAAATAATGCAAATGTCACACCGTTAAACATGGAAAAAATACTTTTTCTTCTTTTTTACTTTAATTTCTTAGTAAGGTGAAAGACGTTGTCATTTTTGTGTGTGCATATTGAAACTAGATTTATTACCCATATTGAAACCAGACCAGAGAGGGAAAAAGAAACAAACAAACAAAACAAAAGAAGATATCATAGAGTACCCTGATTTCAACCAAAGTTCCCCCCATCTACCGAGGCAAAAGTCTATGACCAAAAATGCACCTCATTTTATTCCACATAAGATGTCTATGGCCTTTTATAATTTGCCACATGTCTCATGCTAGGAGGGTAGGGCCCAAATAGTAGATTGATTAAATCCAAAAATCAGATTGGAAAGAGTAATTAAGTGACAAGTAAACATGTATTTTTAGTAGAAATTAAAAGAAAATCTGTAAGAGACAAATCACTGAGAATGCTGTAAAAAAAAAGTACCTGATCAATGTGGTGGTTTGTAGTAGATAATTTCCAAGATAGGTGGTGGACCTGCTCCCCTAAGCTAAAGACACGTGGTAAGAAAAAATAATAATAATAGACCCCCTCCTCCCTCCCCAAAGGCCGAAAACCATCAAAGAGCAAGTGGTCCCACTCCCAACAGAGTTCAAATCCAGAACTACTAGTGCTTGGAAATTTATGTATCTATTTAACTATTAACACAAGAGTGTTAAAATGGTAATGGGTCGATGTTGCAGACGGTATATCCCAGTGAGGAAAAAGACAGAATAAGGAAATGGACATAATATCTGACTCAAGTAAAACCGAGTCGTAGAATGATACATTTCTTCCTGGTCCCACAAAGCAGGCGAGGAAGACATGGTAATGGTACAATGTACCAGCAGGCAGCAGGGAGATCAAAAAAGAGAGAGAGAGAGATAGAGAAGGGTCTGGTTCTGGCTGAAGCCTGAAGCTGTCTCTCACGTCTCATGGCGTCACCAATTTGACCCAGTTTGCATGTGTCCCGGCCTCTTTCCTATGTGGGTTCCTCTTCCTCCACGCCTTTCATTATTTATCCCTTCTTCCTTCAACGTTTCAACCCTTTCTTTCTTTGGTTTCTTATTGCTTCTATTACTATTATATTCTTTCTTTTTTTTTGTTTTTTCATTTGGTAAACACCAGTGGCCACATTTGATTTCAACTTCGTTGGATCTAATTATTAATACTAATAGTCTCCTGCTAAGTTGTTTCCTTTTTAAGTGTATGTACATTTATATAAAAGATGCTGAAAGGTAGAAAGAACACTGCATTATATTCAAAATTCAACAACAGACTAGGGTTGGCCGCGGAGAAACTTGGCTCGAGATGAAACGGTAAAAGTCAAAAAAGATGGTTTCATCTCAGATCTTCTCAGATGCTCTCCGTTGATTTTCCCTGTGCATCTTCATTTGCTTAAAAGTAAATAAAGTTAGATTTTTTTTTTTTTTTTTAAGTATACACACTACCGTTTTCAACACGGAAACCTGGAATTGGTCTTCCTGGTAGGCCCCCACTACCCATATTACTATATGTAATATGTTTAATCTCTCTCTCTCTCTCTGTAAGTCTGTAGTCCACACGTACATTTAATTTCCAAACTTAGACCTACATATTAGAAACGAACTTTTTGGCAGTCTTCGTCAGTAGACAGAGCTCAACCAATCTTCGTTCTCCTTCTCAGTTCTCAGGATTCATTTTTGGGTTGAGAGTTTGACAGATCCCATCTTTGTCAACAATAACACATCATCAACAAAGGCACACACAGAGTACAGACTACTACACTCCCTTGAGACAATTTGAGCCTAATTTAAACCAGAAGGAAGGAACCCTCTTCCAAGAAATTTGCGCGTGTCCATTTACTGATCATAGACTCCTTTACAGTGACAAGAGAGAAAATCAAAGTGTCATTTAATGGAGAAGACAGCTAGTCATGAGCATGATCAACGCCATGGATGACCA